TCCCTGCTGACCCTCCAGCCATGCTGTTGCAGATGTCTCTCTGAGCTGGGAGATCTTTAACTGGGTCAGCAAGCCAACAGTGGATGCTGCTGGACAGGCAATTTGTGATAGATCTCTTCCAGACTTTGCTGGATCTCATTTATCCAGCTGGATTGACTAGGTTGCCATGACTGTTCCTCCAGGTGGACTACAATGAACTCCAGAACAGCCTCACAAACCTTTCCATCATTGTCCGTGGAGAAAGTGTGTCCAGGCCTCTGAATGTGGCTCAAGCTGCTGATGGGAGGGATGCCTTTGTGAAGGTACTGGTGTCCACACCTTCCCTGTTCACAGACTGGGGATGCCTTCAGAGCCATCTGTCTTCCTGCCTGAGGAGCCTTATCTGGCAAACATTCATGCAGAGGGCTCTGGTCCCTTGTAATTCTCCGGCACGGTTTGACAGCAGCAAATAGCAAGCAGTAAGGTGTGTTCAAAGGCTGTAATGATGGGCTCTAATTCCTCTTTTTCTTCCCCAGGGTATATATGGACGGATTTTCCTGTGGATAGTGAACAAGATCAACTCAGCCATTTTCAACCCAGCTTCTCAGAATCCTAAATACAGACGTCAGTCCATTGGGCTCCTGGACATCTTTGGGTTTGAAAACTTCAGCAACAACAGGTAGGAGGCACCAGATGCAATTCCACTGGGAAGCTGAAAAGCAGCAGATGTAAAGGAAAAGAATGAAAGAACAGACACATGCTCTTTCATCATCATCCTGATTCTCACAAAAGCAGTAAAATTTCCATTACTGAATTTCCCCAATGATGACCATGCACAGGTTCCATTTTTCTTCAATCTTCTCCCCCAACCTTCATTTTGGTGCAGTCATTGCACATGCCTCTTCCAAAACCTCAGGGATTTTCTCAGAAGAGATGGCTATGAAGCTACTCCACAGGTGCACACAGTGTGCCACAGCAATTCCCAGGTAATGACACTCAGGTGCAGCAAGACGGAGTAACTAGCAAAAGAACTGGTAGTTCCAATGCCAGTGAAAACACCTCACACACTCAGTCAAGTGATTTTCACAGTTATATGTTCCTTTTTATCTCTGGAGTTTCTTAGAACACATACAAGATCTTTCTTAGCTTACTCAGCAGCACTCAATGATCAGTTGGTCACTGCTGCTGATCTTTACCACAGCAGAAGATTCATTCCTTGTGTTGCTAAGACTGGCAACGTGCAGTGGTGATGATCATCAGCGCTGTGGAATGTAGCAGTAGTATATGTGGATATGGATTTAATGCAGAGAATAAAAATAGCAGTGCAGCACTGGCCAAGACTGACTGTGAGTTCTCATCTTGTCCCCCCCCAGCTTTGAGCAGCTCTGCATTAACATTGCCAACGAGCACCTTCAGCAGTTCTTTGTGCACCATGTCTTCAAGCTGGAGCAAGAGGAATACCTCGCAGAGCACATTGCCTGGAACAACATTGAGTTCACTGACAACCGCCAGGCTCTGGAAGTCATCGCGCTCAAGCCCATGAATATCATCTCCCTCATTGATGAAGAGAGCAGGTTCCCCAAGGTAACTTTCTGGTTTTGCTTGTACTGCCTGACTTTGCACACAGCTGAACCACCTTACACCAGGAACACTTGGCTTTACACACAGAAAAGTGCAAAAGTGTCCTCTGCTTGTGAAGTCCAAAGACCTGAGAAATTCTCAGTGCACCTGGTGATGTTAGTAATGCTATGGGGGCTTGTGTACAGCCCTAGAACACCAAGCCTTATGCTCTGATGATGTGTTCTGTCCTGATGCTTGAGAGAGGGGTCTGGTAAAAGGGAAAATAATTTTGGCACAACCTTCCTCCACATCTACTACACAAAGAAGGGCAGAATTTGAGATTCTGTTATCTCTGAGCATCACTTCTGTTTGTTTGCTGAGCACAGGCCAGTGCTGGGGACAATCTGCTTAACTGTCCTTTTTGCCTGTAATTGTTTCTAGGGCACAGATGTCACCATGCTCGTCAAAATCAATTCCCTCCATGGCAAAAGCAAAGTCTACATCCCACCTAGGAGTGTCCATGACACCAAGTTTGGCATCAACCACTTTGCTGGGGTTGTCTTTTATGAATCAAAAGGTGAGCCTCTCTCTGCTGGATACGGAGGGTGAAGAGAAGGGCATGACCTGCCCTGGATATGTGGCCCTCCAGGGCAGTGTTGATCTGAAGTTGATCAGGAGGTCAGGAGGATTACTCTAAACCAATCTGCAAGTTACTGTAAATTAAGTGGATTTTAGCTAGACAGAGGTGAGCTGGCAGGCTGCAGAGGTAATGAGCTAATTTTGTTTCCATCCTATAGATTTCCTGGAGAAAAATCGTGACACACTGAGTGCTAATGTAATGCAAGTGGTTCATTCCTCTAAAAACAAATTCCTGAGAGAGATTTTCCAGGTGGAAACGACCCCACCTAGTCTGGGACGTGGGACCATCCGGCATCTTGGAGCTGACCAGGTCTACAAGGTTGGCTTACTGGCACTGGGTTGCAGAAACAATTAGTTTCTCTTCCCTTTCGTAAAGCTCTGGCTATTCTTGACCACATCTTTCTTCTGCACTGTCTCTGCAAATCTCTGTTTCATCCAGCTCAATTATGCAAAGGAGGCTGCAGAAAATGTCAGGGTCTAGTGTCCATGCTGTAAGCAAGCCCTGTCTCTCTGCCCTGGATGCCTGCAGGCTGCCACAGATCCATGAGCTGTGGTACCAGCCATCACCTGGATGGGTTTGCTCTGCATCTGCCTGGGCACCCATACAGCATCCACATCACCAGGAGGGGTGTGAATTAGGAGAGGGGAAACTGGAGTTCAAAAGGTTCCCTGGAATGGACAAGGCACCCACCAGAGACCCCTCTGCCCAGGAGCCAGCAGCTAACTGCTGCCATGCTGCACAGGTAGCCAGTCTGCTGGGACCACAACACCAAGAGGTCTGACAGGGCAGCTGGCCAGTGGGTCGTGGCCTTTCCATTCTTGCCAAGGGCTGACAGGTAGCACAATGGAGCCAAGAGCTGTGATGCCACAGAAAGATAATCTCCTCCCAGTGACACCTGTAGTCTCACTGCCCTGCATATCACTGCAGCTTTAGCTCTCCCTCCTGGCCCAGAGACTTAGTGACAAAGGTCATGATGGCTCAGTATCACAAAGTCATCTGTGCCTGGTGGTGTAGGGACCCTTGTCTGTGCCTAGTGAAAATGAGGCTGTAAAGTGCAGTGGACTGGAAACAGGATGGGGCAGAGTTCAGGTTCTCTGCCCTGCTCCAACTTTCACAGACCTCCATTTCTGAGCATTTAACTATGTAGTGTCATCAGCATGTGAAGGTGGTTTTGGTTTCACTGTTTACATCTTTGAGTTCTCCTCTCAGGATACAGAACAGACAGCTTGCTATCTTACCTTTTCTCCTGGCTTGTTTTCTGAACCTGTCCTTTCTTCCTCTGTATTTTTCCCAGTGTGGCTTTCTGCTGTCCAGAGCATCTGGCCATGGACAGGTAAACATCCTGGGGGAGAAGAATGTCAGAAGTGGTACAAGCTGCAACAGAGAACTGGCTTAGCATCTCTTAAATGCTATGAATACCTTCAAATTGAATATCAGGTCTATCTAACTTGCTCTGATGCTCTAATGACTTTTGTCTCTATAAATAAGGTTGTGCTATTGAAAAAACCCCCACCCTTTCCTTAGATTTAGAAAGCACAGCAGCATGTGATACTAAATGTGGTCTAATGGAGATACTAAATGTGGTCTACCCCATTTCAAAATGCACAGAAATTAGCTGAAATACCTGTATTACCTTGAAATAGGTGGGCCCACCATGGGGAAGCCTAAGAAGGAGGCTACAGGAAAGAATAATGAATGAAGTGCCAGGAAAAGTTTTTTCATTCTCAGGTCTCAGAGTTCCTCTCCTGGCACACCAGGGGTGAAAAGTCACCATCAACTCAACAGCAACTTCAGCCTTAACAATGCTGTGTGTGTGAGATAAGGAGGGAATGGGCTTCAGCCTTGTGTGGCCATCCCAGTGCTGCTACAGCAGAATGGCCTCTAAGCTCCGAGAGTGAAACTTGCTTTTAACTCTTACACAGCTTAAATATGTATATACTGTTGCCCTACCTGCTTCAAGCAGATGCTTACTCGCCCTAAGCTGCACCAGAGCTGCGGTGAGACATCCCTAGGAGCTGTTTTCCATACACGAGTGTTTGATCGGTGGAGGGCAGCCTTGCCCTGTAGCTAAAGCAGAGAGTGGCCACCCGAGTGTTCAAAAGGGCACTTTAAACCTAAGAACAGCAGAATGAGGCACCGTAAGGACCATGGAAATCAGGGCAGCCACTGGACTTTAAATTATTTAGTGGGAAAGAGACCCCACAATCCACCAAATCCCCCACAAACAAACAAACCAGCCGTGTTGTGCTGCAATGACCTGCTCCATGCCTGTATGCAAAAGGCACGTGGAGTCCTTTTGTTGCTTGGGATCTGCACTGCTGTCACCCTAATTTAATGCGCCCTTAAAACATACTGGGAGGTAGAAGCTTAGGCCTAATGTGGTGATCTATATGACAAAGACATGGGTGGAACTGTGCTGTCAGAGAAGCTGGGGAAGCCAGGAGCAGCTCTTATCCTTTCCTCCAGTAAAAGTTTGCAGTTTCACTGCTTACTGTAGTAATAATGAGCAAGGTGATCAGTCATCCTAATCCCTAACAAATAGGCTGTTCTGGACCTTTGGCATTCCTAGCTCTGATGGCAGCAAAATGTCTGGCCTGGAGGTTATTTTTGCTGCGGGAGTGGCTGTTTCTCACCAAGCTTCGAGGCACACACCCACGAACAACAGCTTGGTGCCCACGCCCGACACTAAACAGCCTTGGCTGGAAGAGCCAGGTCAGCGTGGGCTCCTGTGGGTGGAATTTCTTCTACCACAGCCAACTCCACTGCTAGACCTTAGTGCCCAAGTAGCTGAAAGCACTTGGTGGGGTTTCTTTGCAAGAATAAACCCAAATTCACTGAGACGAAGAGGCCAATTCAACTCCCATGTAGGTTATTTTTTTCTCTGTTACATTGTAGAAAGATACAAGTGTTATTAATCGGCCTAGTGAATGATGTAGCAGTCAGCATGTGTTTACTCTTCCCAGGGCTTGGATACCACCAAGAGGCTCTCTACTCTGGGAGGACAGTTCAAGCAATCCCTGGAAAAACTAATGAAAATCCTTGAGCAGTGCCAGCCATACTTCATCCGCTGCATCAAGCCAAATGACTACAAGAAACCACTGGTAATGTTCTAACAATATGAGGTCTTGTCTTCAGTAAAGTTTCTAATGAGAAAAAGCTGACAGTTGCTGTGTAGCATTAGCTGTACTTGGCTGCAGCCAAGAAGAGCTGGAGGACAAGCTATAACTGCAGTTAAGAGAGTGGGAGGATATAGCATTGTTAATTTAAAAAAGTTAAAATCTCTGAAAAGCATCACAGAGCAATGGATGGCAAAGAAAGCACATAGGTGTATTCCTGAGCAGAGTTATAGAAGCCTCTCCTGTAAAGAAGTGCAAGGTCCTACATCTGGGCCATGGCAATCCCAGGCACAGCTACAGGTTGGGTGGGGAAGTAATTGAGACCAGCAGTGAGGAGAAAGACTTGGGAGTGACAGTGGATGAGAAGCTCATCATGAGCTCCCAGCCAAGAAACCAATGGAATCCTGGGCTACATCCAAAGGAGTGTGGGCAGCAGGTCAAGAGGTGATTGTTCCCCTCTACTCTGCTCTGGTGAGACCCACCTGGAATACTGCACACAGTTCTGGTATCCTCAACATGAGAAGGACATGGAACTATTGGAGCAAGTCCAGAGGAGACCACAAAGTTGCTAAGAGCGCTGGAGCACTTTCCTTGTGAGGACAGGCTGAGGGAGTT